GAGTAGGTCGACTAAAAAAGTAGGTCACCGTGACCTACTTTCGGAAAATCTATGGCTTTAATAAATTATTTCGGGTACTAATTGGCTTAGAATCATAAAACTTTGTCAGTTTATGCGTCTTGGGTCCTCGGAGTACAACAACTGAAAAGTAGGTCACGGTGACCTACTTTTGAAAATTTATGGCTTTAATCAAATATTTCGGGTACTAATTGGCTTATAATCATTAAACTTTGTCAGTTGATGCGTCTTGGGTCCTCGGAGTACAACAACTGAAAAGTAGGTCACGGTGACCTACTTTTGAAATTTTATGGCTGTATTTAATATTTTCAGGAATTATTTGGCTTAGAATCGTCAAAATTTGTCAGTTGATGCATCTTTGGTCCTCGGAGTAGGTTGACTGAAAAGTAGGTCACGGTGACCTACTTTTGAAAATTTATGGCTTTAATTAAATATTTACAGGTACTAATTGGCTTAGAATCATCAAACTTTGTCAGTTGATGCATCTTGGGTCCTTGGAGTAAAACAATTGAAAAGTAGGTCACTTTGACCTACTTATAAAATTTTATGATTATAATTTTAAAAAACATTTTAGGTATTAATTGGCTTAGAATCATCAAACTTAGTTGATGGGTCCTCAGAGAATGACAAGTGATAAGTAGGTCACCATGACCAACTCTCAGGTACTAATTGGCATAGAATCATCTTGGGTTCTCAGAGTGTGAATTGGAATTTCAAGGGTTTATGTAAATATACAGGATACTTCGAAGCTTCAAATAGAAGTGATAGGTTGTACAGTTTATCAGAAGAGCGATTCAAGGCCCATGGGCCTCTTGTATATTTGTAACATCACTGTTTTTGAAAACATCGCATTTAATACTTCAATGAATTTTGTTAACAAAATGTTTATTTCGTATTTCAAATTATTTTTCAGCCTATTCAGAAATTTATACGTGTATCTACCTTTACAACGAAGACCAAGTATTGATTAGAATAAGAAGATAGTTGTTATACAATTTATGCAGGATACTATATGAACACAGCAGAACCTTTATTGTGAAAATAATTTTGAAATGTTGACATTTTTGTTAATATAAACGCCAAAATGTGAGATGCGTGACAAATATTTGAATAGTTACACAACGGTACTATAAAATAAACACATATTTAGCCATTTTAGTGCAAGTATGTGATGAAAGATTCAGTGAATTAATTGTTGAGATAATATATGCCTGTCTTATATTAAAGAAAAATAACTCGGGTTTTAAATGGAAATGCTGTAAAAGTGACTAATTTATGGAATGTGAAATATTTAATTTGATAAAATACAGAAAGTAGATATATTTTATTTTTATATTGCGAGCAAGTATTTCAAATATATGTGTCGCTTGTATCCCCTTTAACTTCTTATAAATAGTGAATACAGTTCAGATGATCAAATTAAAAACAATATGATAAGGGCTATATTGCCGCTATAGGCATTTTTCCTGCAATTATCTAAAGAATGGTAAACTGACAACAATGTTGAATAATTACGATATAAGATCAAAGAGCATCTAAACTGAAATCGGTGATAAGTTTCTGGATTCCATGTATGTGAATATTTTGTATGTAAATGATCTGATTTTCCTTCCTATTTAGAAAGAAATGCGCATCTCAACAGGGCTACCGGGTGCCTCATTCTAGACCGCCAAAAGGCGATCACAGAAAGAGTAGACTCTATAATACATGAATCCCGACTAAACAAAATGCTTAAAACTAGTTCATTTCCAACTAAATCTCATGTAATACAAGTTTTACTACACGTCTTTCAAGAATTAGGCCGATAACGCTAACAGTAGTAGTGATATCATCCTTCACCTAACCTGCATCCGCACAATTTTAATTTGCACTATTGCATTCATGTTTCAACGCATGGTAGTTCTAGGAAAGTCTATGGTTATTGATTTATATAGAGTGTTGAAGCATTGTTTGGCAGTAATTGTGTGATTACTTTCTTTATAAAGAGTCGATATATAGTTTTTAATTTGTATGCCCCTCTGTCTTACAAGTCCAACAAACACCCCTTAACAGTAATGAAATGACCTTAAAAGTATTTTTGTCCATGCAGAAACTTATATATTTCTAAAGGGAGTGAAATATTTGAGTAACTGACTTTATAATACATTCAAACTAGAGCCAAATGCTTGCCCGTAACCTAATTGTGTCATTTTTACGATCAAAGTCACGAGATAATGAAATATGTAAATCATAACTCTTCCCGAATCCAGTTATTGTTATTTATTAAAGTAAACCTGGAGGCGAAATTCAGTTTTTTAAGTTCATTTTGCTAAAAATGACAGTGCTTGAAGAATAGATGAATTCCTCAAAACTATCTTATAAATGTGTAAGTCGTGTTGGGGGTAATCCTGATTTAAACAGAAATTAAACAATCATTACCCACGATAAATTAAAGTCCAGGCGTGTTGACATCATAGACAGCTTCTTTTTCAATAAAAAATGGAACTCATAAATTTACATACCTTGCCATTGGTCATTTGCAAAACTATTTTATTAAACATCTAATTAACACAAAATTACTCGAAGTTGATTTTAAAAAAATGCTTGAGTTTATGTGTAGTTTTTGGAGATCAAATCTTCCAACAATCTGTCGAAATTCCCATGGATACTAGTTGCGCCCCGTTATTACCAGACCTATATTTGTATTCATATAAGCAAAATTTTGTCAAAAACTTATACATGAAAAGAAGAATCTCTTGCTGTGGCCTTTCAATTCGACAATTAGATATATTAACAAAATTCATTTTTATTCCAACATTAATTCGATGTATCCCTTTGAACTAGGAATAAAAACAGAGTCTGACACACCTGTTTTATTTTTGGATATTACTAGTAAAAAGACGTTAACGGTAACGTAAAAACAAAACTTTATGATATACGTGATGACTTCAACTTTTCTGTAGGCAACTTCCTTTATTTATGTAGCAATCATGTCATAATTATCTGCATATGGAATTTGTCTCCCAGTTGATTCGATACGCAAGAGCAAACTCTTGACAAATAAGTTGATGAAACAAGAATGTGAAGTCCCATTTAAACTCGACATTTCGCAAATTGTATGGTCGATACAATGACCTTGTCAGCAAATACAATCTATCATTAAGTCGAATTTTGACTGACGTTTTTTCATACTGAATTGCCTACGGGTTTTTCCGTTTGCCCGATCATGACAAGGAACATACGGCGGTAGTGACCGGTGGACAGGGGATGCTTACGCCTCCACGGCACCCGCCCTTGATGATGTTTTCTCTACTCTAAAATTGTATTATTTCAATGGACTTTTTAGCTTGATTAATGTTTATCTTCAAATTTTATTTCAACTGAAGTTATATTATTTTGGGACAAGAGGGAAATGTAATACGGAGAAAAGTATTTCGGCAAGGCATAAATGTTAAGTAACATGTTTTGTTGTTATAGTATGCGGTGGCTATAGAGTTTTCTTTTGATTTATTTTTGTTGTGTTTTCAGAGAAGCATCTACTTCTTAATTTACGAGTCGCGATAGTCATTTTCATTAATTCTTATAGGTGACTTTTCTTTTGATATCTGAGCTCGAAAATAGTTAATTTTTTTCTTACGCTAATTCCAAAATATCGCTTTGAATCTTTTCCGCCTTTATCTGGTTCTATAAAACAACAAAATGGTCATCCTTTCTGTACATCCCTTCATAAATTGTCATTGCGAGTCTGCTTTCCCTTATTTTCTTCAGCCAAATTGCAGAGAATATTTATCCTCAAATGCTTATTTATCATCTAAGTTTTTGTAAGATTTGGTATCTACCGTTGGTAAATCTTTTAAGCTTTTCCAAATCAGTTACTTTCAAATATCTCATCTTAAACCTTTACATTTACTTGTGATTGTGAAAGCAATAAGGTATAATCGGAAAGGAAAGGAATTTTCCCTTAAATTGAGTTACTGCATGAATAAAACTTTGAAGTAACGAAATTTTTTCAGGTATGAATATAAAAACTTGATTTCAAATGAGACAAAAGCGTGGAACAAAGTTCAAGGTCGCTGGAAAAAAGTATAAAATGCCCTACTTTTCAAAAAGTTTAACATTGGTTATAACATTTGAAAGAGATAGGATAAAGCATTCATATTTGTAATGTGCATTATCTGTAAGAAGACGTTTCCGAACATGCTATAATTTTTTATCCCATGACCTTGAAGTTTGATCTAATTTTCAAACATTTTCACATTAGTTATAACTTTTGAATGACAGAAGATAAGGCGTTCATATTTGACAATTGCATTACCTGTGTCAAGAAGTCTCCGAATATGCTAATATTTGACTACGCGACCTTCATGTTTGACCGAATTTTCAAAAATTTTATCAATGCTGCTAATTTTTGAATGAGAGAATATGGGGAAATTCATAATTTACACTATGATTTTTAACCCCCTGACCTTGAAATTCGACCTAATTATCTAAAATTTTAACATTGCTGATAGTTTCTGAATGAGAGAAGATAGGCATTTATGTTATGTGCATTTTTTTTACCTCGTGACTTTAACCTTTAAGATTAACCTACAGTCTTTTTCATTTTTTTTTTTACATTGGTAAGAACTCTTGAATGAGAAAAGATAGGGCTTTCATATACATGTATTACATGTATATGAATTTCTGACTTCTTGACTTTGATGTATAAGTTTGAAGGGACACACAAACAAGACATTTAAAATATGCCATAAAATCATTGCATCCAAACCAAAATTGGTAACCACAATTCTTTGAATTTGCTTGTTCTTAAAAATACATAATGTTAAGTCTCAGCAAAACTTAGTCTAAAAGTTACATTCAAAACAAGAGTATAAAAATATAACATGATTCTGTCTTAAAACGAGTTATCAGCATTCTATGAAATAGTACTTGATCAGGCTTTTCCTGTAAGAAGATATTTTGAAATCTCTGAGTGATATATATTTTTAATTTTTTTCTTGCAGATTGGCGATACGGCGCTGTACTATGCAAGTTGACACCTTTCCTCCAAGGGATATCTGTTTGTGCCTCCGTCAATACTTTGGCAGCCATCGCAATTGATAGGTATACAGCTTCGTGATTTGTATCATGCAAGCATTTTTGTGAAGCAAAGATTTTTTTTATTATTAATTTCATAAAAAGTGTTTTTGTTTAATTTGAGACACCCCAGACACATAACTGTGAGGTTTTGTTCATCTGTCAAGTAATTTCCTGACAAATGTTACTGGAGTGGGATACCATTTCAAGATGATGGGCATTGGAGCTGACCTAATTTTAAATTGATAACAAATACTCGCTGATTCCTACTTTTAGTTTCCTGTCTGTGTACTTGCATCTGATAGCTAGGTTCATTTTTGGTGTTTTAAAAAGGGTTCTTTAAACATTGATGTTAGGATGGGTTGGCAAATCCGTGTAGTTTTTAAAACTTTCTTTTCGAAATTCCTTGCATACTTCATTATTGTTAGTTAAACAAAATTTTGTATCACATAAGTTACGTATTAATGTAAATACAACACACTAGCTGATGAACATAAGAACTTGTATGAAGGACACATACTTTCATGAGGAAACTCGGATACGGGTGCCTTAAGGAATTTCTTAAAAGCAAGTTTCACTGTATTTGCCGTTGCCCTTTGAACACTGTTTAATTCGATTGCACGTCTTTGTTATCTGCTTCAAACTTGCACGCTCTCCTGTAATCGAATAATTTCCCTTCACCGTAAAATTTTTATGTAATCACCAGTAACTAATAAAGATAGAGTCTATTAAACAGAATTCACTGAGCATTCAACAAAACTGAGTTTATGATCTAGGTTCGATGTCTGTCATTTTCCATAGGTTACAATTCAATTTTTATGATTTCAAAAATTGATTCGAAAATCAAGCATGATGATACGTTATTAAAATAAATTACGGTAATTTTAAGCGCGCATTTTTTTAAAATGTATTTTGCGGGTAACTTCTACTTTAAATACTTGCTTGAATAACATAAAGATGACAGAAAAAAGAAAATTAGCTTATTTCAGCATGGGAAAGTTATCGTGTCCAGGGTTCGACACTAACTTTTTTATCTTGGTGGACCGCAGGTCCACTTGTCAAAAATAATTGGTGGACCTTCTCAAATTCTGGTGGACCTTCATAAATGTTTGAATTAATGAATGAATTCATTGTACAAGGCTTGACACTAACTTATGTACCCAGTCCAGTCAGACTAATAAAGTATTAGTTTAACCAATCAACAGAAACAAATCAATTAGGAGTTTTTCAGCATTGTTGTTAAATATATTTCCAATATTTAAAAAAAAAGAAAAAAGAACGCAATCTATATCTTCAGACGAATTTTATTTTAATATCATTTATTTACAATGGTAAAAACTTGCATTTAATTCGCTTCTAAAGGTAGGTAAAATTTAAATTCCTAATAAATTAACTAAGATATGATTAATATTCTTTCATATTACAATATACCTTAATATTATTTATATGTGATCATTCTGAAATAATTGTATATGCCCCCCGAGAGCCCTTGATTGGTGAATAAACTAATATCTATAATCATGTGAATTTTTCATGTATCTATGGCTAGAACATTTTTTATTTACTACGATGCAAAAATGACAAAAGTATATGTATTCATAATTTTTTTTTATTATTTATTCAAATAAACTGTGATCATAGGATTCTTTTCATATGTGATATAAAGTATAGCAGAAAAAAACCCCAGATATTCATAAAATATAAATCACGCCAGTTTGAAAAAATAAACAATGCATAAATGCAGCTGTCAATCAATTCTAATTATCTCCAAACTTGGCCATCAGTGTGCGTTCAGGCGTGAAGTGATTTCCTGTTACCTAGTGTACATTTTCACACCTTTCTGTGCATTAAGTAAAGAAAGGACAGACTGGCTAACTTGGCACGAATTTTACATGCTTCTTTTTCAATGTCCGTGTTGAATGTTCTTGCACCTCAATGTTATTGTAGTCATCAATATTACATGTAAAATATATAAAGTCGCTAGGTTCCCCTGCTTTAATACCTAAAACAAATTTCATATTTATTTCTTGTAAAATACAAGTATGGATGAATTAATCGTTTGATTTACGGATGTAGATTTAGAGAAAAAGAAAACCGAATTTTACTGGGTTTTTTTATACGGTGTTTAAATTTTAAGTGGACCGACGGTCCACCTAGTCCAGAACATTTGGTGGACCTTCCAATTTTTTGGTGGACTCGGGCCGCCGGTCCACCGTTAGTGTCGAACCCTGATGTCCTGTCCTCTGTAATTTAATTAAGAAGAATGTAACTATGAGATATATTACTCTTACTTGAAGACGGGGGCTGTGTAAATAATAGACTATTTGTTCCGATGCAGTCATTTATTTGATATTTCTATGTTCTTTTCCAGGTGCCTGGCAATCTGTTATCCCTTACACTACAAAATCACTTGGAGGAGTTGTAAAATTATTATGTGTAGCATCTGGTTGTTCAGCATCGTCATAATGATTCCTAACTTGTTGGTATATACTATAGATGAAACAAACCCTGTGAATATGACCTTCTGCTCACCAAAGTGGCCATCAACTACATTAGAAACTATTTATTTTCTGGCCGGATCATTACTTTTTTGTTATTCCCTCCCTCTGGCGCTGATTATTACATGCTACTGTGTGATTGGCTTTAAAGTATGGAACCGGAAGGCTCCTGGTGTTTACGGATCAAACGGTGTAATACACAGATCAAAAATAAAAGTCGTGAAAATGCTAGTCGTAGTGGTAGTAATGTTTGCCGCCTCTTGGTTTCCATTGTGGGTGATACAGATAAAAATCAGACTAGATCCGCACCCAGCAGACTTTTTCATAGTTTATAATTACGCTATTCCAATCAGCCAGTGGTTGGGATGCGCCAACAGTGGAATAAATCCTATTATCTATAGCCTTTTCAGTAAGAAAATTCGTATTAGAATAAAAACGATGCTCATGTGCAAAAAAGCAGAGTATGAAGTTCCCCGCAATCTTAGTTCGTACACTAGTACTCGATATGTGTCAGTTGATTATACCAATGGCCATGTGACTCTAAGGACAAACGGATCACAAAAAGAGCGGAAGTCCTCGCGCACAGATAGATTATTCAATAATATTTACGACTGATTTACATTTACTGCAGTTCTGTCCTATGTTAAATTGTTATTGCATAAAACGATTTAATTTTCTTCTAGCTTTGTTGCTTCGTCTTTATTGGCTGTAATATGCTAGATAAGTCTTGATCCAGAACACAAGGAGCTCACATCATAGGAGTGACCTTTGAATAACGTCTTTCACTTGTTAACTATTTTCAATTGCCAATGAATACATGTATTTTTACATTTCACCTTCAACCTGTATATTGTGTTCTAAACACTGAGGTAAAATTGATTGATTGTATGTTTTTTACGTCCTATTCGAGAAGAACAATTGACAACTTTCCTTTGACAGAGCTAAGCTGTATCAGTTTTCTAGTAAGATTTACATCAATTGAATGCTTTTTCATTTGCTTAAGAAAACAGATAATCGATTAACCCTAAACTACATGTAGTAAAAACTAGTTTCTTAAAGCCATCTGTATGAAATTTTTTTTATTGGCTCTTAACGGACCTTACATAATTTCATCTATGTTATATGAATAGTTCAATACCATATATATATATATATATATATATATATATATATATATATATATATATATATATATTTGCTTTTATTCTGTGTCTCGTTTTTTTTATGAACGGTGTTGCCATGGTAACTTAAAATAGAATTTTCTTAGAAATACTTTCAAAACGCTACTCCTTCCAAAGTCTTGGTTTTATTTTAATATAACTGGGCATTTAAGTAGACTTCACTAAGATTACATACTTCTGTATATAGGTTTTTGATTTCAATAAAAGGCGCTGCCTTGGTTACTTAAAAATAGAAATTTCTGCAATATTTTTCTAAAGGCTACTCCTCCTCAGGCACTTATCAAGGAATGTTTTTTCCAGGGGGTTCATCCCAGTCAAAAAATATTAACGCAGAAATTTCTTGACAAGCAAGGATTGCTGTTGCAATCGTTTTAAGTCCAAGTTTTTGTTGTAAGTACAAACCAGTAGAACTTCGGTCTCCTGGTGGAGAAGAGAATGTGTGGTGTGCCCCCTCCCCCCACGGTAATGCTAAAGAAAACACGTACCTATTACTTTTTTCACTTGTATTTCTTAATTCCCTATGTTAACGAGCAAAGAAAATTTAAAATATTTCAATAATCATTTATTCACAAATGTCCTTGAACTGGTTGGGTATATAAGAACAAAAAAAAAAAATGCAAAATTTTATTTCATAAATTTTGTTTTCATCAACATAGAAAAAATGCATTTGACTTTCACATGCCTTGACGCCAGTGTATACCGGTAATTTTAAAGATGATATTATAGGTATTCCGATTTGTTTTTATTTTGGAATTTTTTTGTCAAGAAAAGCTTTTTTCAAGTAAAAAAATTCTCCTATAGGTGATAGATTTGGTCATTAAAACTTCTTCTGAAAGAGAAATGACAAAAACAAAGTCTGTGAGACCTTTTTTTAGCTTTGTGTACAAAAAAGATTATTTATTCAATGTTATTCATGGCCTTGATAAGACCACGTGCCCCATCCTCTTTGAACAAATGATATAATTCAATTTACACCTTATTAAGCTCAAGACTATGGTTTGTCAAAGCAAAGCAATAAATTGCAACCCTTATCATAAAACATATTAGGCTTATTGAATCATTGCTTTGGTTACGATGACCTAACGTTTTTCGGATAAATTTATTTGACAAATTTGCCTCAGGCGAGCTCAATTGTCTACAGACAAAATTATTGAGCTAATGCCGCAGCAGCGAGCTATATGTACATGTCAATCATCACCTAAACTAATTCTAACGATATTCATACAAAGTAAAATTAAATTGATTCCTGTGATCAGCTGCTTGCAAAAAAGAATAGAGAAATATACTTATGATAATTTTTTTTTAATATCCGAGACAGAGAGGAAATTTAATCTTTCCGGCGGCAGTGATATAGCGTTAAACCATGTGAAAAGCAGTTCCTTTTCAAATCAAATGGATTTGTCTTTTTAGTACATGAGGACAATATTGTAAAAACATGTAAAAAACAAGTAATTTAGCAAAGGTCCTGTAGAAGTTATGTTCGATTTCATAACCGGTGAAATCATATTTGCTGCTTTCTGTGCACTTCTGTAGAGGGAAAAAAAGCGAAGAATGTTTATTGATTAAAAAAATATATAAAAATCAAACTAATTGTTTGTTCTACTCCTTGTATTCTAGCTTCATGTTAGCATAGCGGTAAAAATGGCCATATAAATTATACCAGTGAAATGACAGTGGCCGATAGGGATTTATGAGTTGATTAGTAACATCAAAGGTAATGACAGTGCAGTGTTTGGGTCTGGCGCACAGGTAAATTAATACACGGATCATAGGATGCAGGCGAACGGCAAAGTATTTTAGCAATTACTTAGGTTTTTTCCTTTTTTTATTTGCGTTGACCTATCAATTAAAGCGTTAAAACCAGTTTTTTTTTTGTTTTTTTTTTTTGTTTTTTTTTTTTTAATAAAAACTTGTTTTGACATGTATCCAAATTTTGTAAAATTAATAGAGATATGAATATTTTCTTTGGGATAGTTACTCTTGATACAGGTGTCTTCTTATCAAGGATGTAACAACATCTTTTAACAGATATTATCTCTCCTAACTCAAGATCACAAGTGACTTTCCTTATCATAGCTTAGACTCTCTAATCGATCGACATGCTTATCTTTTTTTTAATCACTAAACATTAATTTTTTTCAAAGATAACTGGATTACGAACGAAAACCTGAGGGAAAAACAAAATAGTTTATACATCGAAGTCTGTATATCGGGGCTAGTATATCACTGACTCAATGTTTCATTGAAAATGCACAATGAAACATTCGAGGAACATCTAATAAGCAGTAAGGCTAATAGTTTTCATAAAATAGATTTTCGCAGTGAAAGAGCATTCAAGTAGATTCATATTTTTAATTTTATTCAAAATGATGGTCCTAATTTCTTTCAGCTTATAAGAAGCTTGAAGCCAATTTCTTTCAGCTTATAAGAAGCTTGAAGCCATATATTTGTTTTTCTGAAATACTGCTGAATCAGAATTAAACAACAAATATTCAATCAATCTTTAATTTATTTCCAATCTAGTTGACAAATGATAACTTGAAAAATTGTTTAATAATTCTCAACTTTATACTAGACATTAGGGAAAGACATGCTAAACTATAAGTTTTAGAGAAAAATAATTTTAAGAACTGAAAAAAAAAACAGTTACATGTATCTTGAATGTTTATTTACCCTAGCTGGAAGCATTCAGGTACCTGCCACTGAAAATGTTTTTTTTTTCCTTCCTTCTTTTACATGAGGGAGTTTTAGGTTCTGGTGGTTTAACGACATATAATTGAACAACTTTCGATAATTGTATGATAGGAAATATCGATGTTTAATACATAATTCTCTACAAAAAATAATAAAATAGGGATAATTACATGTGTTCTCTACTCTTTCAACGAAAACGGAGGAACTGGTACCAAATTATTTTGCTTTCAGTAGTTAATGAAATAACTTCAGGTTGTGAAAGAGATTGTCTATAGACGACAATATGCAATTTAAGGCTTGAGTCTGTCTTCGAAAAACAGGAAAAAATATATATCGGCAAAATGTCAGACGCCTGGTTGAATGCGCATCCACATACCATTTTTTCAATTTGTATACGTACCATTCCTAAAAATAGTAGAAAGTTTGTTTTTTTTTATTTTTTTTATTTTTGGTGAGACACTAACATAGGTCTGTTGATCGATTTTATTACCGAGGAAACGAGGTTTCCACCGATACTAAAATAAATTGTTCTTTGAATTATTTCAAACAGATACTCCTATAAATTTTGCATTGTTAAAACAAACTAATGTAAGAAGGGACTAAATTTGGATTGTTTAATAACATTGTACTTCTATCTTTAATATCGATGAAAAAGGCTTCGGGTGGATTTTAAAATATCAACCTCATGAAATAATTCTACACTGTACTGTCTTAGCAGTTTCCGAATGATTTCAGGAAACCTGATATACGAGGGGTGATCAAAAAGTTCGCGAACTATCTCTATATTTACAAAACCACTATTCAGATCAGATTGAAATTTGGCACACAAATAGTCTTGCATCATGGCTGTGGCGTTTTTCCTTTGAAGTTAAGTGTACAATAACTGGAGATACACCGATGGGCGGAGCCAGCAAAAACTGTGGCGTGTAAATAAATTATTGAACACCAAGGCGATTTCAACATTTTAAATCACATGAATATTGAATCTGAATTACAGAATTAAATGGGCTTTGTTATATACAAAGACAAAATTTCAATGAAATAAAGGTCTTTCACATGAATTACAGTGCACATGTATCCCAAAATACGAAATGTTTTTACGAAACTCTGCAAATATTCGATCCACCACAATCAAGTTCTTGACATGAATTCCACATATAAATATCTATATAATATCACACCTATTGTAATAGAGCGTTTTAGCAGGATATACCATCTTTGCTGTGTTCTTTGCTCAACTAGAATAAAGTTCAGCTGCACTGCATCCATAGATGAACAGTTATTGACCCTGACACGGCGTTTTTGTTCATGCGACAGCTCTCGAATTTGTCAAAATCAACGGGTATCTTTTCTCTTGATTTTCGATTAACACCCGAATTTCCCTTCTTCAACTTCGAATTTTTCATCCTTGATTTCCAAAGGTTTTCTTATGAATTTCATTAACAATCCGTGTTTATATTAAGTTAGAGAGCTGCAATCCGACGTCCTTCCTCGTGAACACACAAATGAAATGTGTGTATGAAAAACACTGGCAGGAAGGAGAGATTATCCATGCGGTCACCTGACAAAAACGATATTTTTTACTGGTGTAATTAAAAATCATGCTTGAAAATTACTGACGTTTTGATTGGCCATGATATTGAATATTTATCATTGTGTATCCTGATTTATTTGGACGAAGGGGCGGAGACTCATTCTTCGCACTCGTCACCACCCTTCGTCCAAATAAATCGGGATACACCATAATAAATATGCAATAACTC